TTTTTCGAAATTTTGAAAAAATTTTAATCGTATTTTTTTTGGAATTTTTAAAAAATCGATTATTTTGGAGAACGTGCAAGTTTTTGAAAATATTCGTTTTTTTGAAAGTTTTGCTTTTTTGAAAATTTCGAAGAATTCTGAAATTTTTGTTGAAAATTCGTTAATCGTTCAATAAAAATTTTTTTTTTAATTCTTCAATACTTTTTTTTTTTTAAATATGAAAATTTTCGAATTTTGAATTTAAAAACAAATTCAGATTATTTTTTTTTGAAAAGTTTGAAATATCATCTTTGGTGCTTTTTGGTCCGTATCTTCGAAACGGCTAGACTTGTCTTTGTCAAAAACTAATTAGCACGTGTCCTCATCAGTAAGAACCGAATGTGTTTTGAATCATTCAAATCGGTTGATTTTTTTGCGATTACTATAACTTATCCTACGGGAAGTGTAATAATAATGTAGGTAATTAAATTCTTGATTGTATCAATATCAATATGCTTTCCACTTTTTTGAGTCATTAAGATGTATTCCTTAGTGTTTACTATTTAGTCAGATGTTTTTTCACCTATTCCTAATTTTTATTTTGCAGATGTCTGGTGTACCAGCGGAAGCAAATGCTGAACAATATAGCCTGTTATGCCCTGATGGACATCTCCAACCCCTTAACACAACACATCCTTGCGTCTGGGTGGCCAAACCCTGGCCAGCGATTGCAGCGAAACGGTAATTTTATAAGTATTATCTTATTATCTTAATTGATCAATAAATCATTCAATACCTATTGATAATCAATTATCTATTCAGCACAACGGCATCAGCAATCCACTTACTGGTCGGAGGCTTAAGTCATGAGAGTACAGATTCTTGGAGAAATGCATTACTAAGTTTATTGGAGACGCATCATGTCAATATAACAACATTAGATAATGTAATACCCATTGACGACTATCTAGACCAAGCTATTGGTTTTCAAGGAGCATATAGCTTTGCAAGTTGCAATCCACCAAGGTAATTTATTGAAACATAATTATAAACATTATATTAATTTGTTATACACTTTTTTTCAGATCGATATCTATTTGTACAAGCAGTACCATAGCATTAGCAAAATGTACATGGATGCAAGAATCAGCAGCAGTCCAAGGTGTTGAACCAGACGTTCAATGTATCAGAAAGATGAATGATACAGAGTGCGTTCGTGCTGTTGCATATGGAGAAGTAGATGTTACAATAGTGCAGCAAGAGGATAGATTTGAAGCTGAAAGGTATTGTTTTCAAAACCAGGATTTTTATATTTAAATTTTATAAATATAATTTAATTTATTTAGGTTAGGTTTACAACCGATTTTATTCGAGTACCCGCTAGAAGCTAAACATTTTTATCGTTCAGCTTTTGTGGTAAGGTCGACCTCTGATATTCACAGCATTTCTGGCTTGAAGAACAAAAGGGTTTGCTTTGCATCAAACAAAGGATCAGCCTGGTTTTCTGCACTAGACGAATTGAGAAATCAAAGTATGATTCAAAACGCTGATAATTGCAATGAAAAAGATTTGTTGAGAGACTTTTTCTCCGAACTTTGTATACCTGGTAGCAAGGACAACAAATTGTGCGGCGCGCATCAAGAATATATAGGAGAGGAAGGGGCTTTCAGGTAAAATTTACTTTTTTCTATGAAATTTGACTTGAAAATGTCTGACCACTTCTACATTTAAAAAATTGAGATATGTGGGTATGTGTAGTATGCAGGTTGGATACAAATTTTCTTCTACGATTCTAGAACTAGTATGCTTTAAGTACGCATTGAATATTTTTTTCAAGTCGGTTGTTCCTTTCCGTTGATAATCCCGAGGGTATTTGTTTGGATCATTTAAGTGAACTTTAAACATTACAAATCTTGTTACGGAACCCATAGAAATGGAAACAATATATGTACTTCTTATACAATCAATACATTCAAATTGGTGCTCTCAAAATCGTCGACGAAAACTTTATTCGAATATACATACATACAACGCACACACACACATTAATATATGTATATATTAAAAATTTATAATATATATATATATATATATATATATATTAAAATTTTAATATTAGAAGCAAAAATATTTTTCCAAAAGCAATTATTTTGTTGAAACAAGCAAAAAGTTCTTTGAATAATTCAAATCGGACGCTTAATTTCTCAAAAACTGCCATTTATTGCACATTTAGCTCTGTATCTTCGAAATGGCTGCATCTGCCTTTGCTAAAAACTAATCATCTCTTCCCCAATCATTACAAATTGAATGTTTTTTAGATCATTCAAATCGGATGCTCCGTTCTCTCAAAAACTCGATTTCTATTTTTTGCAATCTTTGCTCTTTATCTCCGAAACTGCTGGACCTGCCTTTGCCAAAAACTAATCAACACATCTCCCTATCAATAGGAATCGAATGTTTTTTGAACCATTTGAATCGGTTGATCCGTGCGCCCAAAAACGTAAACGAAAAAATGCGGGACACACAAAACACACACACATTCATTTTTTCTGAGGTATGCCAGAATGTTCAGAAACCTTCAAACGTCGAGAAATGCCAAAAATTTCATTTTCGATTTTGGCTCGTTACTATAAACTACCCACGGGAAGTTAATAATTGATATAGTGTTGTATTGATATATATTTTTAACTTCCCGTAGGGTAAGTTATTGTAAGGCCGAAAATCGGAATTGAAATTTTACATTTCTCGACGTTTTGAAAGTTTCTGAACATTTTGGCATACTTCAGAAAAAATGGATGGGTGTGTATGTATGTATGGATACAATTTTTCGTCCACGTTTTCGGGCGTACGGATCAACCAAATTTGTTTCAACTTTTTTTTTTTTAATTTTAATTTTTTGTATATCGAAAATAATTTAGATTTTATTTTTAATTCTGACTATAGTTTTAATATACTTTAAACAAATAATTTCAACTTTGCAATTCAGTTTATATAGTTCTTATAAATATTAGACGATGTTACAATATTTATAATAATCTATTTGAAAACATTCTGTATTTCTCGAACATTTCGTTACGGTACGGGAGGTTCCAGCAATTTGCCTTAAGGCACGATGCCACCCACCCCACTAGTTTATGTGAAATTTTACTTTGATGATGAGACAGGTAATGTACTTGAAACGCATGGAAAATTTAAAAGCAAAATTATTCTTCCATCTATATCTTGGACTTTTTAGCTTTTATCTATTGGATCTTCGGTTTCTGAGATTTCGTGGAATTAATAAATTATTGAAGGTAAATACATTACTAGTGTTGCATGCACGATGCTATGGCAAAGTTGCTAATACTTCCCGTCCCGTAATTTTAAGTTTTTTAAAAACTTTTGAAATCTTTGAAAATTCAGATTGTTTATAGTTATTGCGCTGCTTAGCTGTTTTAGAGGCGAAATATGGAAGCGCGTAACCGCCGCGTCAGATTCTAACGGTTAAATGTAATAAATCTTGGTACGGAACTCTTAGAAGTATAAGCAAAATTTGTACTTATTAATGAAATCTCTAAAAAATATCTGATAATTTGATGTGCATATGTCTAATGATCTATTTTGACCGCCAAGTAGCGTTTTTTTTACTTTTTTTATTGGATCTCCGAAACCGCTGGCTAAAAATTTAATAACTTCTTCATTTTGTCAATACAAGTAAGATGTTATTTGAATCATTAAAATCAATATCATTTTTAACACATTCTCCGCGAATTTCGAAACGGTGGGACCTGTCTTGGCCAAAAACCAATCGGAACATCTTATTATTAATAGGAATAGAATGTTTTTTGAATCATTCAATTGAGTTTATTTGTGTTCTCGAAGTCATGAACGAAAAATTGTATCCGCACATACATCTAGTTTTTCTAAGGTATGCCAAAATAATCAGAAGGCTTTGAAACGCAAAGATACATAAAAATTTTCATTTTTGATTTTTTTGGGGATTATTATAACTTTCTCTACGGGAAGTTAATAAATATATTTTTATTATTTATGATTTTGCTTTTATTTTTTTGTGGATGTATCGAAACTTTAATGAATTACTTTTTGTTGGTGTGATTTTAAATTAAAATTGTACGTCATTGCACTAAAGCGTCAAAGTACGACTACAAATGTATTCAAAACAATTAAAAGCTTTTTCTTGCAGATGTTTAGCAGAAGGTAAGGCCGATGTTGCAGTTATGGGCCTGGGGACGGTAGAAGAATACACAGGTATGTCAAATTCAATTTAAAGTTGAAAATAAAAATTCAAAAAAATACACCTTTACATTTTTACATTAAATCAATGTTTGGTTTAGAAATGTAAGCATGACGTAATTATCTTAATTTGCAATTCAAGATAGAATCACGAAATCACTGAACGCATATGATGCTCAAGTGTAAGTTTTGTCTCATTAAAATTTATCTTACAGGAAGACCTATTACATGCGGACAGAGGTATCCTTAAACTTTAGCATTCAGTCTTGAGAATATTAACTCAGCTAGACTTTAATACGAATAAAATTTTACTTTGATAGAATTACGGAAAATAGTAGTAAATTAAAATTATTTAAAATATTGTTGGAAAATCAGAAATCCATGAATATAACAAAACTTATATTGTGAATGACACATTTCACCACCATGTTGCTAAAAATTTTCTTTTTTGCGAATATTTTTAAGTTGGCGGAGTTAATTTTTCGTTAATTTTGTGGTAACAAAAATTTCATGATATTCCGTAATTTATACACCACTATGCATTAGGATGAAATACTGATTAATTGTATTCCCCATATCTTTCAGATGGCTCAAGCAATGAAAAATGGGCAAGATATTTGAAATCGTCCGATTTCCGATCGCTGTGCCGACATGGGGTAGACTCACCACCTTTGAATAAGAAAAGCCCTTGTTTCTTAAGCTGGACTCCGCAAGGATCAATCATGGTCCGACACAACAATAGCGAATGGAGAAAGGAAGAAATACGAAACGTTTTTGGAGCATTGGATTCGCTCTTTGGAAAATTCTATAAAGCCCATACGCCTTCATTTACTATGTATGCCCCATTTGATACTAAAGGCGGCATTATTTTTCATGAAACTACTGCCAAATTAGTAACTTATAAAGATATTTTAAGGGACAGACATGACAAAAATTATGAATTTGTCCGAAAGGATTTGAGATGCTCCTCGATAGATTCCGGTGCGATGAAGAACAAGATTTGTGCAGCAAGCTTGATAATACTTTTCTATTGTTCAATTTATCTGTGATTAATTATAATTTAAGATTTTTTGTAAAAACTACATTTTAGTAAACATATATTTATTAATTTTCTTTTTGTTATTAATCAATATAATCATAATAATGATATGCTTGACATTGAAAGCAATAAGACGATTTTTTGAGAAACCTTTTCGCTATTTCTGTTGCTCTAGTATAAACAATGTTATTTGTAATGTGAATAAGCAAATCGAAAAATCGTTAAATGGTTCAAATTTTAAGAAATTAGAAAAAGATCAATCTTCTGACACGAGTGACTATTAGAGGCTTGCTCCGTCAGAGGTTTACACCGGAGTGAAATATGTTGTCCCCGTGTAAACGCTATTCTCTTGCTTTTTTTAACAAATTATTTTTATCGATTTAAAAACATATTTTTCATCGAATAAAATTTGTACCTAAACACATTGATAATAATTTATGTTTTCAAATTGATATTTTCCAATCGAATAAATCCGGTTATAAAAACACATGGATAATATTCTTTGTTTTAAAATTTATATTTTCGAATCGAATAAAACTTGTTATGAAAACACTTGGATGATAGTCGATGTTTTCAAGTCGAATAAACTTGATATTTTCAAATCGAATAAATTTTGTTATAAAAACACATAGATAATATGTCCATATTTTTGAATTGATGTTTTCAAATAGGGCCGGCGGTGGCGATATCGGTTAGAGCGTGGGCTAGCAGCAACTAGCTCCAGGTTCGCTGGATCGATTCCCGCTACCGCCGTATCCGACATCAGGCAACTTTGATGTCAAATTTCCACTTGTGGTTAAGATCTCAAACATAGCCTCAAGTGAAAATCGTTTCTCGTGGGTATAGTTGCATCTATAATAAAATGTCAGCAAATACTTCGAGTATTAGGCCCGGCCGTGGTCCCGTGGTAAGAACGTGGGCTAGCAAATCCTAGTCCCGGGTTCGAATCTAACCTCGGTCGGTTCGGTATCAAAGCAGCTTGATACCAAATTTTCACTTGAAATAATAGATTTCAAATATGATTTCAAGTGAAAATGGCCTTTCGTAGGCATAGCTGTAGTGGCAACATGCCACTTGGAAGTAAGGAGGTACTAAGATTGTATCGCTTTGAAATACAAAGGAAGTCGAGATGTATCCCTATACAACAGGAAAATGTAAGAGCTCTGACATCGTGCAACCATGATTTTGAGTGCATTTTCAACTCAACCCACGGACCTGCCCTTGGAAGAAATATTCGTAAAGAAAAATGTAATAAACAGTAAAAAAAGTAAAATATATGTAGTATGTAAGATAAAAAAAAGAAAAAATAATTATAGTAATAAAGTTTGAAAAAAAAAGTGTAGGTAATTAGCCAAAACCTGGACTCGACAACTACTGGGTTGCCATCCATTCAAAATTCATATAATAAGAAAAGTCAAAACAATTACTCAATGTCTTAAAATGTGACAGATTGTAATTAAAAAAAAATATTTTCAAATAGAATAAAACTTGTTATAAAAACACATGAATAATAGTCTATACTTTCAGATTAATATTTTCATATCGAATAAAAATTTTTATAAAAAAAACTTTTATTGTTAGATAATATTTCCATGTTTTTAAATTGGTATTTTAAACTAGTAGTATTAGATCAATATTAAACCGCGCAAACAAACATAAAAACAAAACAAATTATACTAAACACATTTGAAAAAATGCTCAGCGGCTTGTTAAGGTTTGGTCGCGTTCGGTGTAAACCGTCCTCTCAAATCGTTGGAAACTGTCATAAGATGGCGCATGCGCAGTGTAACAACTCACAATGAGTTGAAAAGAGTTGTGGATCGTCACAAACTGCCACTCCGAACACACCCTATATTGTCTAGGTTAGGATAATCACGGTCATTTTTATATAAATCTCAATGGTGACGTTATAGATAAAAAAATAAGGGTGACGTGGTATATAAAATAATTCAATATAAGTAGTACAAATAGATGAACCTGATAAATTTGATTAAATGAAATGAGGACAAAATAAATGCGTATAAAATATATTTTCATCAAAATATAAATAAAAATGTTTTTGTGTTTTCATTGCCATGGTTACCATTGCTTGCATGGAATTTTCAATTAAATCAAAATGAATAACAATAATATTTACTTACACTTCATAGCTACTAATGATAAGTAGTTATTTACACCGTACCTAATTATTTATTTCAAATAGTGATATAATAAATAATAATATTAATTAATATATAATTGTTACATTTTGATTAATGAAACAAATACCATTTTTCTTTGAGTTTCATTCATGTTTCGATCGTGCTACCCAGTCATTTTTAACCATACCCTTTTTCCCGCTAGTCCATTACAACTTTCATTAGGGTATCATCATAAACAATCTTATACACGGTGAAATACTAGTCATTCTGCCAGTTATTATTAAAAACAATAAGATGGCGCCAAACATAAATGCATTCGGCATTGATGCATACAGCACGCTTCAAAATACAGCAAGGGTGACTATGAAATAACGACCTAACAGCTGTTTCATTGCATTTAGTATTATTCTGAGTGTTAACTCAACTTTGCAAACATGCCTCGAGATCGTTGGAGCAGTATGTGATTGAGTCATCTCATCTGGACTTTTTTGGATTCCGTACATCGGGAGATAATGGTATGGATCAGAGTTGGATTGATTTTTGACATAAAATCTTGGCTTATTTGAAAAGTTTGAACCAACTTTATACAAGTTTTTACTAATTTTGTTATTTTTTTTTCATTTATAACTCTCGCTGTGCTGTACTGATGATAAGTTATATATTTTTTACAACTCACAAATGAAAGGAATTTCATTAATAATGAAATGGATTCTTCTACTAATTTTTCAAAATGGAGAAATCGAGCGTTATGGGGACACTCGCGTACGGGACGCCCTTTTGTGGAGATATCCTCTTTTTTGCATGCGAGCGACGATACGGATCTGACTAACATTTTTCTAGCTGTACTGCACGTCGTGTGCTATTGATGAACTGAAACTTTCCATAGCAACGGTAAGCATGGCAACGGTTACCACCGCAAAATAATTTTACTGAAAACTTTATATTAACGGTTACCATGACAACGGTTGCCAAGCAACAAAAGGAATTTAGTTATTAATTTTACAGGCAGTACTGCACAGCGTGCGTTATGGGTTGTAAAAAATGTGTAACTTATCATCAGTACACCACAGCGAGAGTTATAAATGAAAAAAAATAACATAAAATTAGTAAAAACTTGTATAAAGTCGGTTCAAACTTTTTAAATAAACCAACAAATTATATCAAACGGTAAGCATGGCAACGGTTACCACCGCAAAAATAACTTTACTGAAAATTTTTATATTAACGGTTACCATGACAACGGTTGCCAAGCAACAAAGGAAATTTAGTTAATTTTACAGGCAGTGCTTCACAGCGTGCGTTATGAGTTGTAAAAAATGTGTAACTTATCATCAGTACACCACAGCGAGAGTTATAAATGAAAAAAAATAACATAAAATTAGTAAAAACTTGTATAAAGTCGGTTCAAACTTTTCAAATAAGCCAACATTTTATATCAAAAATCAATCCAACTCTGAGATTGACGAAGACTTTGAAATCTGCCGCGATCGCTAGTCGACTGGAGAGTGGAGACCCGTTCGTTAAATCGAATGCAACTAGTTATGGAAGCACATGGATAACAGTCCATGTTCCAATTTAAATTAATTTTTTCTAATCGAATAATACTAGTTATAAAAACACATGGATAGTATTTTATCGATTCAAAAATTGTGGACTAATCGTTTCGAAAATTTTAGTTATTTTTTCAATGTTCAAAGTTTTTGCGATTTTTTTATCACAGTTTATTTGTCCATATTTTTATCAAACTTTTTTTGTCCATGATTTTTTTCCAAGTTTATTTTTGTCATTTTTTTTTCAAAATGTTTTTCATAAATGTTTTTGTCTATATTTTTTTTCAAAGTTTTTATCGATTCAAAAATTTGAATTTCAGTTCCACCAATTTTTTTTTCAAAGTTTTTTTGCCCATATTTTTTTTTTCAAAGTTTTGAAAAAAAAGTTTGGGGGAAAAATTTTTTTGGTGAAAACCATGGACTATAGTCTGATTTTTGGGAAAAAAATGTTTGGAAAAAAATTTTGGGAAAAAAATTTTTTTGGAAAAAATTTTCGGGAAAAAAATTTTCTGGAAAAAAATTTTTTGGGAAAAAAAAATTTCCCCAAAATTTTTTTCTCAAAACTTTTTTCCAAAAAATCAAAGAGTATATGATTTTCCCGCAATTTTTTTTTCCAAAATTTTTTTCCCCAAATTTTTTTTTCAATTTCTTTTTCCAAAAATTTTGCGTTAACAACCATGAATCATAATATTTGATTTTTTAAAAAGATTGAATTGATTAAAAAATGTAGATGTTTTGACATGTTTCAACTGAGTGAAAAACCGTGAACTATCTCTTTGATATTTTAACTGAATTGAGTGATAAACCATGGACTTTGATAACCATAATCTTTGATATTTCAACAAGATTGAATTGAGTGAAAAATGTAGATGTTTTGACATATTTGAATTGAGTGAAAAACCATGGACATGTCTTTGATTTTTTAACAAGATTGAATTGAGTGAAAAATGTAGATGTTTTGACATATTTGAATTGAGTGAAAAACCATGGACTATGTATTTGATTTTTTAACAAGATTGAATTGAGTGAAAAATGTAGATGTTTTGACATCTTTGAATTGAGAGAAAATCCATGAATAGTCTTTGATTTTTAGATAAGATTGACTAGAGTGAAAAATATAGTTGTTTTGACATGTTTGAATTAAGTGAGACGCTCACTCTTCAGTGTAACCAGCTCGCCGTTGTTTCGGAAACCGGAAAACAACGATAGACGGTTTGGTTAGAACATACATTCTATATTTTAGAGTATGTGCTATTGAAAAATGCATACGAATTAGGGATGCGACATCTGACGCATATGTAATAAACATTCAATAATAA